ATGGTGGGAGCATAAATTGGTACAATCTTTCTGCAAGCCACTTGATAATGACTATAGAAAATGTTAGAAGTGCCTACCTTTTAAGCCAGCACTTTCGTATCTTTGCCTAACAATGAGGGTGTGTTTATTGGTCTTTTGGATGGCCTCTTCTGTTATTTGTTTTTCATATTCTTGGCCCATTTTTCTATTGGGTTGTCTTTTCCTTATGAATCCGTGGGGGCTACCAATATTTAGTATGCAGTAACTTCATGTATTGTAATTATTTTTCCTGAGCTATCCTTGGTTATTTGACACAGTTCACGGTATACTCTTCAGGGTGAAATTTTTCACTTAATATAATGAAATATGACTTATCTTTTTCTTTATAGCTTTTGGGCTTCTTAAAAAAAATTTATGGGCTTGGGATTTATTTTTGTGCACAGTGTGATACAGAGATCCAACACTGTTCTCTAGGTAAATAACCAGTTGTTCTAATTCTGTTTAATAAAAAATTCCTGTTTTTCCCCCACCAAATTGAAATTCTACCTTTGTCTACTATTAAATTCCCATATATACTTGAATCTATTTCAGGACTCACTCTTTATCCCACAGTCAATTCCATGCCAATATCACACAGTGTTCATTATAGTGCATCATAATAGGTTTTAACATGTGGGAACCTTGCTTTCTACTTTTATACCTTTTCTTAATAAAGACTTAGTGGCAAATTAGAAGAGGCAGAATCAGGATGTTGGCTAAAACCAGGACCTTCACAACAGATTGTTCTTAAAGCAATAAACAGAACTGTGGGAAAAAAAAATTAGGGAAAAGAGCTCACTTACATTGTGTGCAGAAATATGAATTGTTAATATCTATTACGATTACAAAAATATATATACATGTATATGTATATATATTTATATCTTTCAATCAATAATTTTGCTCCTAGGAATCCAGTGCATAGAAACGAAGGCACTAGTATGGAAGGCTGTGTGTATAAGGAAGTCTATTACAATTATGGGGCGATTGTGGGGGAGTGTGTACCTAGGACAGGTAACATGGCAGGCCTGAGACTGCTAGTGTTAGGCCTGTGTGCAATGTTGGTTGGCCCCTGGCTGGCGTCTGGGAACTTGGCTGGTAAACAGTTCCCCACACTGATATAAAACTTTCCCTAAATAAGAGTGGTTCAATGTGCTTACACTGCCAGTACAATCAATGTGGTTTATGCTAAATGCCTGACTTCCTTCTGGGAGTCTGGAATTTTGGTACATGCTGGGCAGAGAGTGCCAAATGACTGAACCCCAATAAAGACTTTGGGTGCTTAGTCTCTAACGAGCTTCCCTGGTGGACAGTACTCAGTACGTGTTGTCACAACTCATTTCTGGAGAAATTAAGTGTGTCCACTGGGAGAGAGCTCTTGGAAGCTTGCTCCTGGTTTTTCTTTGGATTTCACCCTAAATGCCTTTTCCCTTCGCTGAATTTGCTTTGCATCTTTTTGCTGTCATACATTTTACTCACGAGAGTGCTGTGAGTCTCTGTAGTGAATCAATGAACTGGAGGTGGTCTTGGGGACCCTTGACACAGGAGGTTAAGAGGAGATGTGGGCAGAGAAGGGAGATGTGGGGAAAAAGGTAAGAAAATAGTACAGCAAAATAGGAAGGTGAGTATAAAAATTATCCTATGGACTAGAATCTCATTTGTAGTATAGCATATATGCTTGTATATATGCACAGAAAGATGTCACAGAAAGGATGGTTCCACAATGTTAATGGTGTTACCTCTGCATGGTGGGATTTTGGGTCATTTTCCACGGTTTCCCTTATACTTCTCTGTATGGTCTGAACCTGTTTTTACAGTGAGCACACTTGAATTATATAATCAAAAAAAGATAAAGCTAGTTTTTAATTTTAAAAAGGAAATAAAAACAGGTTGTTGGAAATTCTTGTTTAAAATAACATCCCTGATGTGGCCTCTCCTAACTTCCCATTAAATTCCTATAAGGATACAGAAACAGTGAAACACACAACACATGGAAAGTTAGGTGACTGACAGCCTCTGCCCCGAAGTTGACAACAATTTCCACCATTTTATGGCTTGTGGAGTTGTCCAAAGAACATAATCGGTAGATCGCATATGTCATACCCCACCACAGCCTGCCTGAGAATTGGGAGGAAGACCCTTATTCCCTACTTCACTGCCTTATGGTTAAGAAATGCAAGATCTACATCACAGAGAACACTGGACAGCTTTCTCTTCACGACGTGGGTGATGGGTTTTGAAGCAGCCATCCCTTTTCTTTTATAATCTCTCTTTTCTAGGTAGAAATTGTAATTTCTCACCAGATAGGAAGCAGAGGTGTAGAGAGAACTGGGAAAGGAAGAGCCCTAGTAGGAGTGTATACCTGGAATTATAACTTTTTATGGAAGAGCTGGGCCACGGGGCTGGGAGGGAGAACAGTTGGTCCTGTCTATGGCTGGCAGAGCTGCGACAGACTATATAGTCTGTGTGACACTGACAGCTATGAGAAAAAACAAACTGCCCCTGTAGATTGAAAAAGAGGATTCTACCCACCACCAAGTGGACAGAGAGTTCAGGCTAGGGTGACCCTACAGTTTATTATCCATACTGGGAAACTTCTGAGAGTGAAAGGGGTTCTACTAGTAGTTACATCAGGTAACACTCATACACCAGGACTGTCCCAAGCAAACTGAGAGGTATGGTCACGTTGGTTCAGGGCCAAATCCTGAGCCTGAGTCAATCTCTTGCAAAGGTATAAAGAAGAAAAAGTGTCAGATTTGCAAAACACCAAAAACCCCACTGGTAAGTCCTGAATGACAGATGTATGAAAGTAATGTACTATGGCAGAGAGAAAACAGAGATCCTGTAAATTTACAAGCAGCCTTGAGAAAGTAAACAGAACTGAGTAAAAGCAATATATATATATATAAAAAACAATTAATAGAAGGAAACTGTTTTAGGATGAAACAGAATTTAGTATTTCACTCCAAGAGTTTTTCTGAGTTCTAGGTGAAATAAATGAAAGAAACCAACACCTAGAAACATCTTGGCAATTGGGAAGAGAAAACTTTTCATCATTTGCATATGACAGAATCATTGACCCAGAAAAACTAAGAATTAACAAACATGAATCAAGAAAGGTTTCATTCTGGACACAGATACACCAACACAAGCCAATATTATTTCTCTGCACCAACACTGTAATGTAGAAAATATAATAAAAAATTCAGAGCAGTAACAAAAACAATAAAATATCCAGGAATTAACCACAAATTCATAAGGTGCCTCTAAGTCTAAAGGTCAAAGGAATGATTTATATAAGCCTATTCTATACTCTTAAGATGATTTAATATTATAAAAATGTTAGTCCTTTAAATTAATCTATAAATTCATTGCAGTCCTGATAAAAAGTAATGTTGAATTTAATGAACACAATAAACACACATTAACACTTATATTGCACAATAAAGGTCTATGTATAGCTTAAGCAACCTTAATAAAGAAGAGTGGAGAAGACGCAGTTATCCTACCATAAACTGTCCTACCATATAAGAGACACTATCATAAAAACTGTGTGGCATTAGTGCAAAACCAGGCAGATATAAAATGGAACAGAATAGAGCACTCAGAAACAAAATGTGTATATTTAATATATACTAAAAACCAATGGGAAAAGGACACATTGTTTAGTAGATGGTATTGAGAAAACTTGCTCACCATATAGAAGAAAATGAAACTGGATTCCTATACAAAACCACATACATAGGTGGATTATAAATGGATGAAAGACTTAAAATGTGAAAGGTGAAGCTAGACGATTCATAGAAGAAAATACAGGATAGTACCTCTGTGATCTAGAGACAAGGAAAGCCCTCTTCAACAAAATTCCAAAGCACAAAATATAAGGGAAAATACTGAAGAATTGGATTATGTGAAAATTAAGGATTCTCTTCAACAAAGCATACCACAAAATTCATTAGCATGCATAAAGAATAGGAGAATATATTTATAAGGTCTAAAGTGAATAAGAGATTAACATCTAAAATATTTAAGGAATTCCTGGTAATCAACAAGAAAATGATACCAACTCCAGTAGAAAGATGGACAAAGGATATGAATGGGCAGTTCACAGGAAAACCAAAAAAGCAAACAAGCATTTAATGAAATGCTCAAATTTAATGGTAATCAGACAAATAAAAGGTAAAACAACAATGAGATATCACTAGACCTATTAGTCTGGCAAAATTTGTAGGTAGCTGGTTGACACTGGTAAGACTGAGCACACAATAACCCCCATATACAGCTGGTGCTGGTGCAAACTGGCAGCCATTTTGGAGAGGAACCTGGCACTACTTGTACCAGTTAGGTCTGTATATACCCAACGATCCACCACTTTTTTCCTGGTATATATCCCAAGGACATTCTCACAGAGGCACATGATTTCTTTTTATATATATAACTAACTTTTTACATTAAAATGGTTCCTATGAAAGGTATGGGAATGCAAATGGGGGATACAAAGAAATACATGAGTGAGTGAATGAAGTGAGAAGGCAGCTCTGTACAGATCAATGACAGGTCCCATGATCTAACGAGCATCAGTAAGTCAACATTCCACACTTCAGTCAAGTGCAGGCGGTGGGTAATGATGGGTGAGGGAGGTTGTTTCAAACACGCTGGTAAAATTTTTGAATTACAAGACAAAAAAGTCCTTTATGGAGTTAAGGTGAGGGAAACAACTCAGTTAACTACAAGAGACAAAAACAGATTGCCTCGACCTCTCTCTAAATACCAGAAGACAAACTGTCTTTAGAGTTTTGGGGATAAAATAATTTTGAGCTCAGGTACTCATATGTGAAGCCAACAGAAAACGTTCTAAGATAACGCATAGATACAAAAATTATACCACTGTGAACATTTCTTGAATCAAAGAAAACATTCCACAAATTTTTAAGAACATAAAAGCAAAGGCCTTTACCCTTATCTATAAAATATAAAATTACCTTTTGTAGAAAGAGGACAATCCTTTCGAGCATCTGGGCACGGAGCTCTTCCAAGGTAAACAATGTTCGGGGTGTCCTAATGAAAATTTTGGTCTTCCCATAAGCTACATCGTCCTGAAAACCACAGTGTTCAATCAGTTTCTTGACGGCCTCTTTGTCTGACGGGAGGTCATGATTGGGCCAGGTGAATTCAGAGATCATCTTGTATCTGGGTGAAAAAAGAACAGGGCACAGATTAAGGAAGAAAAACCATAGAGTCTCAATAGATGCAGAAAAACTATGCCATAGTATTCAAGATAATAGGAAGGAAAGAAGGAAGGAAGGAAGAAAGGAAGGGAGGGAGCGAGGGAGGGAGAGAGAGAGAGAGAGAGAGACAAAGAAAGAAAGAAAAGAAAGAAAGAAAGAAAGAAAGAAAGAAAGAAAGAAAGAAAGAAAGAAAGAAAGAAAGAACCTTAGGAAACTAGGAATAGAAGTGAATTTCATAGCCTGATGAGCTGTGAAAAAAGCCTTCAATAAGACACAACACTCCTTTATGATAACATCTCTTATTAAACTAGAGATAGAAGGGTACTACTACCTTAATTTAATGAATGCTATTTCCCTTAAACTTACAGCAAATATCATTCATAAAGGGGCATTCACTTTACAAACAGAAACAAGGCAAGGCTGCCCCCCATCACCGGTTTTCCAACCAGCATAGCGAGACCAATAAACAAACTGGTAAGTGATTGGGGAAACAAAACTAATCTTACTTATGAATGATACTCGCTTCAAAGGAAATCAAGGTGATTGTCGGATGAACTATTATCATTAAAAGAAAACGAAGCAGGTTCTGCATATAAGATGAATCCTCAAAATTCAATCACGCTTCTACGTACAAGCAGCCAACGGTTCCTCGCCATGTGGGCCTCGCACAGGGCAGTTCGCTACACACCAGCTTCATGAGTGTGAGCGTGAGCAAGACAGAAGTCAGAGTCCCAACCTTTTGCAGCCTAATCTCACACGTGGTATACCATCACTTCTGCCATATTCCATTTTGCGAGAAGCAAATCACCAGGCTCAGGCCACACTCACGGGAAGGGGGTTACACAGGGTGAATACCAGGAGGTGAGAATTACGGGGACCAGCTTAGAAGGCAGCCTACGACTGTGCTTCCCCGCCCCCACCCCTGCCCAGTGCAAAGTTGTTTACTGCATGTAGTCCACCTTACTAATGTTGTTCATATACTGCATCTGAATTTTAAGTCATAGTGAAAAACGCTTTCCTCACACTCAGGTTACAGAGCAATTCATCTGTGTGTTCCTCTATTGCTTGTATGTTTTTAGTTTTTACGTTTATATCTCTGATCCATCTGGAGTTTATTTGGGTATATGGTACGAGGCATGGATCCAGTTCTACCTTTTGACAAAAGGCTATTTGCACCACGACTTACTAAAAAGTCTGTTTTTCTCCCTATGATTTAATATCTCGCTTTTACCATATACTAAATTTTTATACGCACGTCAGTTCGTTTCTATGCTTCCTGGTCTGTTTCACTGCACTGTCTGTCCATCTGGGCATCACGTGGTTTTAATTATTGATGTTAGATTTCAGTATCTGGTGGCCTCTCATCATTCTTTTATTTTTATAGGTCTTTGTAGCTATTCCTGCAAGTTGATTTTTCCATATAAACTTCAGAATCAATTTACATAGATCAAAGGAAAAACAATCACAAAACAAACAAATAAATCCTTGCTGGGTTCCCATGTTAAATTCATTCAATTTAGCTGTGATGTTGAGTTGTCCTATCCAATAACAAGGGATATCTTTCTATTTTTTCGAGTCTGCTTTTGTGCCTCTCAGGAGCCTTTAAGTTTTCCTCATGGGGTTTTACACATTCCTGGTTAAGATAATACGCATCTAAGTGGCATCCGGTCCCTTCTTCTTGCCATCTCTCTCTTTCCCTAGGTTCCGTCTTAGCCCCCATGACAACAGGCTCTCCCTGGCTGCCTTTCGTTTCCCTGGATATTATTTTCTCAGTCTCATTTTCTAGCTACTGCTCGTCCATCACTAACCCCCCAAATGTCGGAGTTTCCCAGGGCTCATATCAGGCCCTCTATTCTCTATGCACACCCTTTCCCATGTCACCGCATCTACTCCATCTGCTTTATTTATCAGTTCATGAACATGTTAGCCCTAGCCCACTTCTCAGTTATGCGCTTCAGACTCCTATAGCCAAGGCCGACAGAGATCGTGAAGGCATCTTAAATGTCTTTTAGCCTTTCCCACCTCAATGCTCTCAGTCACTAAAGCCAGAAGCCTGGGAATCATATTTGATCCCTTCTCTATTGTTCCTTCTAATCCATCATCAAGTCCTGTTGGCTTGATCTCCAAAATATATTTAAAATTCAACTATTCTCAACTTTACTGCCACCATCCTAATCCAAGCCACCATCACGTTTACTGCAACAGACTCCTGGATGGTTTTCCATTTCCTCCCCAATCCATTCTGCATCCTCAGCTGCGAGAGCCGTTTTCTAAAAAGGCTTACGTCATTTTTATCTCTTACTGCTCTCCTCCTCCATCACCAGAGTCCATCCTGTTGGTCTTCTTTACGGTCCTGTGATGTGTGTTGCCTCTATCTTGCTTTAAAGCCTTTGCATATACTGTTCCCATTGCCTGGAATGCTTTTACGCGTAAATCTATTCACTCAAAGGCAGGCTCCTTCTCATCCTTTAGTCTTTTCTCGATCCTCTTTCATCATCATCAACCCTCACACCCATTATGCTTCTCTAAGGCAGCCAGTTGGTTTTGTTTCTCACACCATTCATCACAATGGTGATCACGTTGATTTGTGGGTTTATCTGTTGAACGTCCGTCTCCCTCACTAGTCTGTGGGATCCATGAAGGCAGGGACTTGTTTTGTTCCCCCTATATATCATGTTGCCTGCTATCCAATGAGGAAATAAGATGTTTGTTGAATGAAAGAAAGAATGAAGGGAAACCGAAATAGAAACCAAATGCAAGAGTTCTAATATGAAGAGAGAGGTAATATTACATAATGTCATGTGAAAAATGAAACAAAATAGGAAACCTTCCAACTTCGTTTTAGAACAAAAATAAGAGTCAACATTTCGGCCATAATACGATAGTAATGGTGTGTGTTTGAAGTTCAGGCATATTGCAGAAATGGAAGCAACGTACTGTCACGCCATTCAGCTAACACCTCAGGATAAGGGCGTCCTTCCTGTCTTCCTGATGCTAAGGGGAAGGCAGGACCCAGCTCTCCAGCAAACCCGCAATCTGAGCTTGCTAATTAAAAAGCTGAACTCATCTGCTTTCTGACAGCTAGTTTTACCTCCCTGAAAGACTTGAGCAGCTTTTAAGGTCCTTAGTACATTTAAAACTCCTTCTCTCCCCCTGCCCCCCATAAAAGAATGAAAATAATGGTGACAAGTAAAAATTTAGGTTCAACTAGCTTACACAGAAAATCTGCAGACTCTCAAAGTAAAAATTCAACGTGGTAACTATTACTTTTCCTGCCACCATAACTGAAAACATTAATGTAATGTCCTGCACACCTTCTATTCCACCCCCAGCCCCCATGTCCCATTGTTAATTAGTTCAGTCAGTATGACAATCAAAGTGTCAATTTCTCAATGTGAACAAACTCTAAATTTTATGTAAAGCAGGAGATAAACACAGCCTGCAGAGCAGAAACAGGCTATTTTCCTGGATGCGCATGCCGCCATCTTATCCAGCACTTTTCCTACACGATTCTAGAGAGGAGCTAATCACACCTCACATACTAATTGGTAATTCGATCAACTTCCGTCTTTCCACTATTCTGTCTCTTAAAGGGAAATTTAGAACATTTATTGGGATGATTAACATCTTTTAATTTTTTCAATTTCTTATTTTCTACTAGGTGTGCTTTCCCCATTGTTGCTTTTTACTCTGTTTTCTCTTCGGTAGACTGACCTGATTCCATTTGATTTCAAAGCTGTACATTTAGTTGTGAGGCAATGTACTGTTCAAGACTGCAGGCTCAGAAGCCAACTGCCTGGCTCCACTACTACCTGGCTCTGTGACCTGGAGCGAGTGTACATCTGGGCCTTTGCTTCCTGGGTCTCGGCCAGTGTGCCTACGACCTTGCCCTTGCAGCTGCTGAGGTGGTTACTTGTTCGGCCGTGATGGCAGCCTCTTGGTGCTGCAGCTGTGGTAGGTTCCAGCACAGCAGCTAGGATGGCTTCCTGAATGGCAGCGCAAGCCGCACGAGGCAGGCTTTCCTGAAAACGGTGACCTGGGCTCACTCCTGGGTCTTCCTACCTGCCTCCTATCGTATTTAGGGTTGACTCACCTTTTCAAGGTTTACTGAGAATCCCCTTTTGGTTCCACAGTGTGGCTGTGCATTCACTTGGTTTTACATACATACGTCTAACATTATTTGGGGACATTCTAGAGTGGGAATGGGAAATTGAAGCTTACACCACTAAGACCACCATATTTAAAATTCATAGGTTCTTTTTAATCTGTTCTCTTTTGTTTTTATAATGGGTATTAGAAAACATAATCCAATCCTTATAGCAATCCATTATAGCATATAGGAGACAATCCTTATAGTCTCCTATGCCTAAAAAGCACACCAAAACATTTGGAGTTGAAAGTAAAGTAAGTCCAGAGAGGTTAAAAATAGGTAAAGATATACATTTGCAAAATTCTTTGCCCCCCGCCCCCTGAAATCAAGCTTGTTTATTGTCTTACTTCAACTACTCTCCATGGCTTCCACTTTGTCTCATGATAATACAATGTTAGTTAGATAAAGATGTATTTTAGATTTGTATATATTTAGTTTAGCCTGATCCTATATTTACCCCTCCCCACCCTGCTCATTCTAATATGTAACTTCTGATTTTTCATAGATGACAACATAAAAACAAATTTTATTACTGAGCAATTGGTAGAATTCTAAGAGCAATAACAACAGCCCAGCAATCTTGCTATTAATGTATTTGATCGAGTTTGAAATCAAGACTCAGAATGATCTGGCTCCTGTCCATCTGTCTGATCTTATCTCATACCGCTTCCCTGTCATTCAGCATCCTCCAGCCACCCTGGACTACATCTAGTACCTAAAACACCACGCTTATTACTGCGATAGAGCCTTTCCCCTGCTATTCCCTCCCTCTGCCTCACCTACTCTCCTCTGATCTCTGTATGGCTGGTTAATTACTTCCTGTCATTATTATCTCCTTAGCGACTCTTCCGACCATCCAATATCTTATGTGGAATCTGTATTATAGAACATAGGAAATGTTCCATAAATATTTTAAAATAAAGGCACAGATGGAATTAAGACATTATTCTTATAAGTCCCAGTTGTCAACTATCATTATCATTAATAATAAATAGCAATAGCAATGACATCTTACATTAATTGAGTGATTAATATATATCAGATACTATTCTGAGTGCTTTTTATATATTATCTCATTTAAGCCTCCAGTAACCCCACAAAGTAGTTATTATTATCCCCATTTTACACATGAGGAAACTGAGGCATGAAATAGTTATGTGACTTGCCCAAGGTTACAAAGCTATGAAATGGCAAAGTCATGATTCAAACCAGGTAGACTAATTTTGGGGCCTCCACAATTAACTATTCAATATTTTGTTATTAGTAGACAGTTGACCCTTGAACAACATGAGTTTGAACTGCACAGGTCCACTTATATGCATTTTTTTTCAATAAATACTGTAAATGTATTTTCTCTTCCTTATGATTTTCTTAATGCCTTTTCTTTTCTTTAGCTTACTTTATTGGAGGAATACAGTATATAATACTCCATAACATACAAAATATGTGTTAATCAATTGCTTATTGATTAACAGTATTAATAGTTAAGTTTTTGGAGAGTCAAAAGTTATATGCAAATTTTCAACGGGGGCGGGGTTGGGGTCCCTAACCTCTGCACTGTTTGAGGTTCAACTGTAATTAATAATATCAGTAATGATAAGCAGCATTAATTGAACATCTGTTACATGCCAGGCATCTAGGCTTTTAACTTAGGTTAATTTAGTCCTCATAACAACAGCCTTATGAAGTAGGTGCTACTATACTCATTTTACAGATGCAGAAACAGAATCAAAGAAATTACATTTCTGGCCCAAGATTATGCAGTAAGTAAGAGGCACATGCAGGATTCCAACCCAGATGTCACCCCAAATCCTTGTTCTTTCTACTGTACTATGATGCCCACATTTCCTCACCAAGAATAAACTATTTTTCCCCCATGGTCCATAAACCACGAACTCAAGGAGACTCTTTCTGTTGATTCTGGAAAGTCCTTCATATTTGCAGTTTCCTCATTCTTTTGTTCATTTGGCAAATATCTGGCTTGTCTAAGGTGCTGATGCATTGTCAGACATGAGGAGGACTCCATAATTCTCAGTGTGGTATCAGGTTTCTGTGCTCGGTCTATTCTCACCTGTGAAGAAACTTCTCGTACGTCTGGCGGAAGGCAAATCCTGCCCGTCGCACCCTCACATTTTCCAGCAGTCCAAGATACTCTACTTGATGCCGGCAGCGTTCATCATCAAATATCTGTGGGGATTTCTTGTCGTTGGGTTTGATGCAACGTACGTAATATGGTTCCTAAAGAAAGAAATCAGCAAATGATAAGTTTCACTGGAGAAAAATCCCAGACTAAGGACACTAACATATAATTAGTGTTAATTGTGTCAAATTAAGCTTCGTGCCTTTAATTTCTCAGGCATAGACTTGTGAATAAAATAGTTATTCTTTCTTTCCCTCCAAGGTTGGAAAAGCCCATGCCTTCAGCTAAAATTTTGTTTTATTCTACTTTAGGACTCGTTAGGAATAGTAGAAAGGGGATAAAACTAGGGAGTAAAAAAAGAAAAAAGAGATGTGAACATTGAGTTTTTGTGTATTTATGGAAACATGGTTAAAAAGTAACAGAAGGAATAATTTCATAGAAAGAGGCAGGAGCTGTAGGAAAGATGAGCTGTGGTGGAGAATGTAAAATATTAAGCACAGCCCTGGTACATAGTAAGTGCTCCATTAAGTGTCAGCCGCCATCATCATCATCGTCATCATCATCATCATGTTTGTGCTTTTGAAAAAGAGAGTAAGATACATGAGTATATTACTTAGAATTTATGAGTATGTTGTAGAGAAGTTACAAAACCACCTGGAGGTGCCAGTGACTCTAAGAAAGAGCCTAGCCAAAATTTCCTTCCCTGAGTGCCAATTACATTGTGTACCGTACATTAGATCATAACTCCCTTTGAATATATAACTGTGCTTGGCATAGACCCTGGTACATGGAAGATAACAAACTATCACTGGATGGATCAAAGAGGTCAATGTATCCTATTTATCAGTGTAAAGAGTGACTGTCCCTTCTCTGAGTCTTTTATTTGTCAGACACACAGATGCACTTTAGTTAAGTGATGGAGTCCCCTTTAAATTGGGCAGTTTGAGCTGCACTGAGGGTAGGAGGTAAAAGGGAATCGTAAATCATTTAAGAAGTAGGAGAGATTGGAAGAATGTGAGTTTACTTGCATTCTGAACAGAGTAACTGTTCAACATCTAAACAGGAAGCTCCAAGTATGCATGTATCGTGCTGCCTTCCATGATGAAAAGCAATGCCGTTTTCTTCCTTTTCCTAAGCCCTGCTCTATTAGTTTCCAAGTTGCTGTAGTAGCAGGTTATCCCAAATTTAGTATCATAAATCAACGCATATTTATCCTCCTGCAGATCTGGAGGCCAGCAGTCTGAAATGGATCTCACTGGGCTAAAAAAATCAAGGTGTCAGCAGAGCTGTTATTTTCTGAACCTGTTTTCTTATGTTTTCCAGCTTCTAGAGGCTGCCCACATTTCTTGGCTTGTGGCCTCCCTCTATCTTCAAAGCCCCCAATGGCCTGCTGAGTCTTTCCCATGATTCCATCTCTCTAGTTCTGACTCGTCTGCCTCTCTCTTTCCCTTTGAAGGACTCTTGTACTTACAGTGGGCCTACCCGAATAAGGCAGGATTTATTTTAAGGCCAGTTGACTGGCAACCTTAACTCCATCTGCAACCTTATTTCCTTCTGCCATGTAACAGAACATGTTTACAGACTCTGGGGATTAGGATGAGGCTATCCTTGGAAGGCTGTGGAATAATAATAATAATAATAATAATAATAATAAAAATACCCTCCCACCCCTTTGTCCCTGGTACCTTTGGCATTTTCTCAGTGATTAGAATATCTTTGTTATGCTAATGAGTTGACTCATGCCCAGCCCCTAGATGGCTTCAGGATAAAGGCTAGTCACCAGAAAAACCTTCCACAGGATTGGAGGGCTGGAACTTTTAGCTGCCTGACCTCTGGGCGCGGGGCTGGAGATGGAATCAGTCGTGCTGATGTAATGAGGCGCTGACAGAAAAGCTCAGGATGCCAAGGCTCTGAGGAGCTTCCTGGTTGGTGAACCTATTGATGTATGGAGAGGGTGATGCACCCTTGACTCCACAGGGATAGAAGCTAATGTTCTCAAACCTTCCAGACCGTGTCACTCTGTATCTCTTCATCTGGCTATTCTGGGTAGTTAGTGTCAGAATTGAATTGTAGGACAATCAGTTGGTGTCAGAGAACTGGTGTTAGAATGCCTAGCACACTTCTTTTTTTCCATCTCATTTGTGGTAGACTGAAAAACATGACCACAATATTTTACAACATGTCCCACCAAGAGGTGGAGTTTCCACCCCACGTCTTGGGTCTGGGCTGTCCTTGTGACTTGCTTTAACCAGCAGAATGTGGTAGAAGTGATACTTGGGTTATTTGTGGAATAACCCAAATTGAGAAGCTTTGTTTTCTTGAAACACTTCTTCCATCATGTGAAGAAGCCCAGGACTAGACTATATGAAGAAAGAGGCCATGTTATCGCAGTCATGGAGCTACCCAGCCACGCCATGTGAGTGAGCCATTGTAGACCATCAAGCCCCAGCTGACGACAGACACTTAGTAAGCCCATGTGAAACCAGCAGAACTGGCCAGTTGACCCACTGAATCCTGAGAAATAATAAACTGTAGTTTAAGCCCTAAAAAATATCTATAACATACAAAGTATCCTTTTTTCATTCATAATATTGTTTTTTTTATCAGTTTTATTAACAGTCTACCTTTTCATTAAATTTTTTTTTTATTGGGGGATTGGGGGGATGGGAACAGCACTGGGGAATTGGGGGAAGGGGAACAGACAAGTTGCTGTC